GGGACACAGGGACTGGCAGGGGTGGCAGTGGGGACAAGAGGCTGACAAAGGGATGGAGGGGAACAGTGGGGTTTCTCGAGAGCACTTAGGGCCACCACATCGGGCTACAAGTGCCACCAGGTCCCTGACACCATTGCTGTCCCGTCCTCAGCTGTCCCCGGCCATGCTGCAGCCACAGGTCACCGTGGTGGCCACCCTGGGTAAGCTGCTGGACACCCTGCCCACGCAGGAGGAGATGATGCTTGAGTCCTCAAAGTGCCTGCACAAGGACCTGGAGGAATTCATCATCAAGCTCTCACTCACCCTGGACTGCATTGATGACACCTGGAGGCACGACAGTGTCACCGGTGATGATGATGGCGGTGTCACCTCCCTGAGCCAGGCCCTGGCTGCCTACAGGAGCAGCACACAGACCACCCAGGACCGTGTGGCAATGGCGGCCAGCAAGTGGTGGTGGAGGTCAATGTCTGTGCTTGTGAACAGGTGGGCCCAGGTGACCAGGAAGGCCACCGAGCTCCGTGACACCTTGATCAAGGTGGCCACTGAGGCAAAGACCACCGAGCTCAGGGAGCTGCAGGACAAGGCTGCCCGTGATGGGACATCTGTGGAACACATGGTGGAGCTGGGTCAGGCCCTGGGAGGAGGGGGCCGAGGTGGAGGGAGGAGGGGGCTGAGGTGGCTGCCAGCGAGACAACAAGGGCCACCATGGTGAGACAGTGGCTGGAGGCGGCCCTGGGGCTGCTGGAGCGCTTGGTGGCTGCGTGTGACGAAGCCACCGCGTTCCCTCAGGAGCTGCTGTTCCTGCTCGGGAACATCGAGGCTGCCCTGGAGGAGATAAATGAGGCGTCCCCCGATGTCCCCGAGGACTTGATGGCCAAGGTGGACGTGGCCGAGCGGCTGTGGGAAGCCAATGCCCGCCTGGCCAAGGATCACCTGGTGGGGATAATTGATGACATCCCCGACTTGAGTAGCAAGGGTGGCCGTGCCAGGCCCAGTGCCCGTGGGGTGGCTGAGCGGTGCCAAAGAGCCATCAAGGACATCTCAAGGCTCCTTCGACCCCTGGAGCGTCCCCAGTGCATCCCGAAGTTGTCCCAAGTGAGTGTGGAGCTCCATAAGGTGCATCGGGGGGGCGAGGAGAGGCGACTGAGGGGACACGGTAGGGGGGAATGGAGAAATGGGGGATGTGGGGATATGGGCGGGGCAGGGACACGGGGGTGGCAGGGGTGGCAGCAGGGAGAAGAGGCTGACAAAGGGANACTCAGGACATCCCTCTGGGTGTCCAGAACGGCCAAGAGCCCGGCCAGGGGGCTCAGAAACCCTGGCACAGAGCCCAGAACACCTGTGGGGTTGATTATGACCCGTGGAGCAAATTACCAGTAAGCCACAGCAGTTTAAGTAGCATAACAGGGAAATTATCACAGGGCAAAATAATAGATTCTTGTTTTTAGATCGGGGGTTTCTGGGGACAAGGTGGAGGGATTTGGACGTGTCCAGCCTTTCTCCTTTTTCTTCTCTTCCTCCATCTTCGCCTGTGATGTTGGCATTTTAGATTGGTTTAGAGTGGGAGCTCACTGTCTAACACAGGTGTTAGTTATTGGAAAGAAACTTTAAAGATTGTCTGCATAGTTTTTAGTATAAAGAGCTAGCACGGTCCCGGGGCCAAGCAGTGTGCCTGGAACTTCCTGCTGGATGGACTTCGGCAGTGAGGAGAAAAATTTTTATAGATAAGATGCAATAAACAGACTGAGAAATTAAGAACTACGAATCATTCTTCAAGGGTCCGGGCAGGAAAAGAGACTGTTGACAATCTTGGTGTCACAGCGACCTGGACCCTCGAGAGCAGAGGGGACAGCAGAGGGGACAGGGGGTGGCAGAGGCTATGAGGGAAGGGGCAGGGGTGGCAGTAGGAACAAGAGAGGGACAGAGGGGCAGCAGAGCCATCCAGGGAGGGGGACAAAGGGGAACCCTCAGGGGCAGGGGGTATCTCAGGAGGCCACAAGTGCCACCAGGTCTCTGACACCTCCCCTGTCCCCTCCCCAGCTGTCCCCGGCCCTGCTGCAGCCACAGGTCACTGTGGTGGCCACCCTGGGTGAGCTGCTGGACACCCTGCCCACACAGGAAGAGGAGATGCTGCCTGTGTGCCCAAAGCACCTGTACGGGGACCTGGAGGAATTCACTGAGGAGCTCTTGGTCACCCTGCACTGCACTGATGACACCTGGAAGCGCCAGAATGTCACCAAAGATGGTGATGGCGGTGTCACCTCCCTGAGCCAGGCCCTGGCCGCCTACAGGAGCGCCCCACAGACCATGCAGGGCCGTGTGGCCATGGCGGCCAGGAAGTGGCAGTGGTCGGTGAATGAGCTTGTGGACAGGTGGGCCCAGGTGAGCAGGAAAGCCACTGAGCTCCGTGACACCTGGAGCAAGGTGGTCACTGAGGCAATGACCGCCCAGTTCAGGGAGCAGCAGGACGAGGCTGCCCGTGATGGGACATCTGAGGAACACATGGTGGAGCTGGGTCAGGCCCTGGGCAGGGAGGAGGGGGCCGAGGTGCTGGCCAGGACTGAAGCCCAGGTGAGGAGAGAGGCCAGGGTGGCNAACTAGGGCCACCATGGTGAGACAGCGGGTGTGGGCGGCCCTGGGGCTGCTGGAGCGCTTGGTGGCCGTGTGTGACGAAGCCACCGCGTTTCCCCGGGAGCTGCAGCGCCTGCTCAGGGACACCAAGGCCACCCTGGAGGGGACAAAGAAGAAGTTCCCCACTGTCCCTGAGGACTTGGTGGCCAAGGTGGCCGAGGCCGAGCGTCTGTAGGAGGCCAACGTCCACCTGGCCAAGGATCACCTGCTGGGGGACAGTTGATGACATCCTCGACTTCTAAAGCAAGGGTGGCCGTGCCAGCCCCAGTGCCGTGAGGTGGCCGAGCGGTGCCAAAGAGCCACTGAGGACATCCCAAATCTGCTGCAGGATGATGATGTCACTGCCATGACATCATAATGGCGGTTATAAAAAATGCATGTATTTTATGATTGGCTTTTCACAAATATTAAAATGAATGTTATATGTATTATATTAGGAAGTAACGCTGTATTAATTCTCTTAAGTAGTGCGCTAAATATAGTTTTAGGTTATAAGACAATGATAAAATAGAAACTATGCTATGTAGGATACTTTTTTTAAAGAAAGGACTTGCAGTGAAATAGCAGCCACAGAACACCTGAATCTTTCAGAGAAAAAGAATTCATTGCACTCCTATCAGGAGAAACAAACTTCTTCCCGCCTCAAAGGCGATGTTAGGATTCGGAGGAAGGAGTTGATGATGACCAGACAGAATCCTGTGTTTGAATGGAATTGATGCATCATGTATGACATGTATGACTATGCACCAGGGTATTGTTTTTAAGGGTTAATCCTTTGTTAACATGGGTCCTTTTTCAGGCTCGTGCTGCCCTGAGAAAGGTACCTGGACGTCCGTAACTCTTTGTATTTATGGTCTCATATTGCCTGAAGTCAAATTGTCCAAATTATTATTACTCTTATTGTATTACTATTTTTATAGCCATTTTATTACTATTAAATTTTTAAAATTTAAAAAGCAAGTGATTGGCGTTTTTCACACCCCAGGCGCCTCTGAAGAGAAGCAGGACAGCGCCCGCTCTTTCCCTGAAGCAGTGCCGCCATCTTTTGTGAGGGCAGTTCCGCCCGCTCCTCAGAGCGCTCCGTGTTCCCTCATTAATCCACCTGGAAATGGCGGAATCCGCCCGGAAATTGCGGGACTGAGCCTAAATCCTCTGGGATTCAGCCAAAGCCCCCCAGTCCACCCAGCAGCGTCCCCCAGGAGCGCTCCCCAGGCTCAACCAGCGCAAACTGCCCGTCTCTGGCGTGAGCGGGCGCCGCCATCTTGGGTGAGGGCAGCTCCGCCCGCTCCTCGGAGCGCTCCGCGTTCCCTCATAAATCCCGCCGGGAACGGCGGAATCCGCCTGGAAATGCCGGGACTGAGCCTAAATCCCCTGGGGATGGATCCTAATTTCCCTGGGATTGAGCAAAAGCGCCCAGATCCTGGAGCTTTTATGCATAAGGGCGGTACGGAAAGAGCGGGCGCCCCGCTCCTTTCCCGCCCCTCCTGAGGCGGCTCCGCCTTTTCTTGGC